GCCCCTTGGACATCTGGGGTCTTACCCAACTAGAAAACGCCCCGGGAACAGCGACCACGGTCCCTTCTTCACAGCAAACCGACAATCCTCACCCCTCGGGAGGAAGGCTGAACAGCAATGGCCTCCTAGGAGGGAGGCACAGACCCCCTGAACTCCAGCGTGGTTTCCAGCCAACACTGGTCTGTCATCTGGGGAATCCATCGGAGTGGCAGGAACTTCACCACGGTCGACGTGAGGGCGGGCTGGCGGACGGCAGGCCCTAACCCCGGATAACCTCACACCTTGTAAGAAGGTGCCCACGTGAAGACACAGCCATGCTCGGAGCAGAAGGCGGCATGAAGGTGGGCCACTGGAGCCACATGGCCACAAGCCAGGACGCCCAGACGGCCAGAGCACCGCCAGGAGCTGGGAGAGGCAGGCGGGGTCCCTGCTCCAGGCTTCAGATGGAGCCCGGCCCTGGCAGTGCCTTGCTCTCGGGTCTCCAGCCTCCAGAACCGTGAGACAACAGCTTCTGTCGTTTTCAGCCACTGCCGTGCAGAGTTCTGTATGGGAGCCCTCGTGGACCGATCAAACTGCCTCCCGCTGGAAGGACGGGCTTGCGTGGAAGGACGGGCTTGCGTGGAAGCCCGGCCCGCCGCCCTCACCCAGCCGAGCACTGGTTATCCACAGTCATCACATGAAAGTCGCTGCAAGGTCAAGACGGGGTGGGCTCCACGTGTTAGCCAGGGGTTTCAGGGACAGTCCTTGGCTCAAGACCACCCATGCCCCCTTCCCGTCTACCCTCAGAACTCTGTGAACACCCCCACTCTGATTCAGGAGTGACAACGTGGCAGTCATAATCCAGGACGTGGTGCTTCATTTGCGGGGTCCCCCTCGCCCCCCAGACACCCACGCATCTGGGAGAGAGTAAGTGCTAACACTGTATGATGTCATCGTCTGTGACTCTGAGGAAGGAAAGCGGTCCCGCCACGCCACCGAGTACCGGCGTGGGGCAGGAGGTGGCCGTGGGGAGGACCAAATCTTTACAGCCAGACTGGTTTCTGATTTGCAAGGTTCACTGACCTATCAACCATCTAACCTCTCTGCAAACGCCTCCAGGTCGGGCCGCACAACAGTGAAAGCGTCTGTATGCGGACCCCAGGGGGTCGGTGCACCTGGGGGACAAATCTCACCACACGGCCACCTTGCGGACAGTCAACCCATTCTCTGTGTCCAAGATACAGCACCGGGGGGAGGGCACGACAGCATGCTAAGATCTCACGTGCACTGACATTTTAAAAGAGAAGAATATACGTGTACGTATGCGGATAAAAAGTCCCGTAAAGCAAACTAGAGAATCTTAACCGTCGGTACCTGGGGAGGAGGGTGGGAGGAGACGGGAACCAGTGCTTTGTATTGCTATCGACACCCCCTGGCGATCTTCGTCAGCGAGTTCTAAGCTGGGGTCACGGGGTGCGTCAGTATCCAAGGGTAACGCGCACCTGTGGTCAGCCCACCCGCCCGGGCTGTCGGCGCCCATGGTGGGGCTTCGGTTTTGTACACGATAAAAGGAACAGGGTGGTGAGTGTGGAGCTCTAGGAATAAAGGGCCCATGAGGATGGAGAGCCCGTGAATGCCCCACATCCCCCATTTCCAGCCTGCGTCTGAGGCCCTGGCAGCTTTGTGGGGTGCGAGTGGATGGCACGTGAGCGTGGACTGCTCAGGGCGGCGCAGGCTTCTCGGGGTGACGTGGTTGGCGGTGGGGCTGGGGCCGGGCGGGCAGCGTTCCAGGTGTGGCCGAGGCCGCTTTCAGGGCACGAACGGGAGCCACAGGTGCAGGTCACGTGCTCCAAGCCGCACTCCCTGCGTGCAGGTGGGTGTCTCAGGCCCCCGGCCGCCCGGTGTCTCCTGCCCCCACCGAGAAGGCAGGCAGCCCTCAATTCCCGTTAACGGCACGGCGGGACACACGGGTCGTGCTGGCGGAGGGGGCGGGACCAGGGGGAGCACCTGGCACCGTGTTCAGCCTGACCGCGCACGAGTGAGAGACTGTAGGAGTCGAGCATTGCTTACCTCTGCGGTTAACGGGGTCCTTAGCTACGTACGCAACGTAGTCGGTTGTGTCCTGTCAGAGAAAAACGAGGAACCCACGTCACTAACCACGAGCAAGACAGCACAGCCAGACATACACTACACAACCCAGCCCAGGAATCTAACGCTCCCAAGGGACAGCCCAGAAGGACGGTATTTCTCACACTACCGCGGCCAGGAGTCTCCGGACCTTGTGAAGTGCGGGTTCTGACTCGGCGGGTCCAGGGCGGGGCCTGAGGCTCTGGTGTGGACACCGCCTGTCTGTGCCCACGCTCTGGGCCACGGCCGTGTGACAGGCACCCCGTTCTCTGCACGGCGGATCCCCCCAGGAGCTCTGAACGCACTGCCGCCCGAGTCCCAGCTCCCGGATAATCCGCCCTTGCTGGACGGGAGGCCATGAGGCCTCAGGACGGTTTGAAGCTCTCCAGAAGATTCTACCGTGAGTCAAGGCTGACAGCCACTGTCCTGAGCTCTGCCTGAATCGGCGGCCGTCAGTCCAAGCTGGCGTCAGAGTCCCACAACGGGCTCGTGGAGACACAGGCTGCTGGGTGCCGCCTTGGGGCTTCGGATTCTGTGGGTCTGAGGGGAGGCCCCAAAATGTGCATTTCTGACAAGTTTCCAGCCGGTGCTGGTGCTGCTGGTCTAGTAGCCACGAGGAAACCAGAAGCGGGCGTTCAAAGGTTGGTTGGGAACGCCTTCCTGGGTGGATGGCATGTGATGGTTCTTTTCTTCTCGGAAATAAGTAGTAACTTTAATGTTTTAAGATGTTTCACACACATGAGCTCTGAGTAGTAGCCTGGCTGTTCCGGGTGAAATCCGAGTCTGCGTGGCGGCCTCATCTGATCCGTGCACGGAGGAGGCTCTGTCCTCAGACGTAGGCCGGGCCGCCTCTAAACAGGCAGAGGAACCAATCATTCTCTTCATCCTGGAAAGCAGAACAGACGTTCCCTGCAAAGCTGACATTCTCAACATTTGTAAAGTCTCGGGGGGGGGGGCGACCGGTAAAGGCTCACCCCGTCGTTGCAGATTTCTCCCACATGTCATTGCTTCGAAGGGCTCCAACATTACAGATGAGCTCCAGGTTTTCAGCATCCGGAAGATTCTGTGTCGTGACTGCCTTCATTACTACTCTCCGTGGGCAGGGGATGACCCCTTCTCTCTCTGCCGTGCTCCAGGAAAACCCTCCGATGGGAGAGGGGACGACTGGGAGCCTGGGGACATGCAATGATCACTGAACGCCCCAGCAGGCAGCACCAGGCACAGGGTGCTTTTCCATACGTGGTACATGGTTTCCCAGAACTCACAGCGACCCGCTGGGTCTGAGGAGGGGAGGAGGGCCCTCCAGCGGGTTTTGACATGACTGGTTGCCACCAAGGGTCCCTCCAGTATGCTGCCCGTCTACGCTGTTCCATGCTCCTCCTTAGGCCACTGTCTGCTGGTATATTCCCTGAGCTAGGAAGGGGGGTGAAAAACAGACCATCAACCCAGCTTCCAGTCATTTCCATCAAGGAAGATCTGGTCAGAATATGAAACTAACAGCCAAGTAAGGACTCCAGCTTGTAGTCACGGACGCTTTCTGTGGACTCAGGAGATGACAGCATTGGAAGGGTCCTAGGACAGCGCCGGCGTCTCTCCGTCCGAGCTCCGTGGAATTCTAGGCCTGGTCAGGAATATTCTCCAGTGTTTGAGATGTGACCAGACTTTCTTTCTAACTTCGTGTTTTAGTTTCCATAATAATCTTACAAATTAATACAAGAATATCCGGGACCATCTGAATGACCACTGCGTCATCGGTTCTGCGTTGCAATGTCAGCGACAAGGTTGTCACTTGGGTTTCCAACATTACAGATGCCAGGTTTTTAAAGAATTCGAGAAAAAAGAACACTCAGACTGGATGCTTTTGCCCCAACTCAAGCAATTAACGTCACATTTGTACACAACGATGCATCACTGAAGTGCTTACTTCAACAGAATAAATTAGTGGAAGGACTGAGTCACCCAGGCGCCTGACGTAGTAGAGAGATGCTGACCTTGAAGGATTCCGCACCGTGGTGGCCGGTTCGAGAGTCCCTCTGAGAGCAGAGATCTGGGTGACATCAGCAAAACCACCCATCCCGGTAAATTCCTGTCACTTTGAATGTTTCTGGCTTTACTGTGTTTTTCAGGATTAAACTTTCAAACGTGATCGGGGCTTACAGTTCAATAGGACGTATGAACCCAAGGAATGTATACTTGATTTATTTTTGTGCATGTTTGGGTGACAAAATTAATTTGAGTCAACACTAGTGGCATACGCAAAGAAATTCTTCTTCTTAAATTCTTACTCCAGTCTGAGAAACGCTCCTCTGGGGAAGGAAGGCCAGGAAAGAGACATGACATGTGTCCCGTCCCTCAGATGGTTTAGGGTCAAGCCAGGACAGAACTCTTCTAAAGCCAATGTTGATCATTGTCTGGCACGCTGGGGGAGTGTATTGGTGTTCAGAACGTTGTTCTAGACATCATCCAGTCACACTGAACACCAAGTTCCACAGATGGGGCTGCCGGCTGCCCGTCCTGCATCCCTGTTGCCACCCCCAAACCTTTCTGAGCCTGGCCGGCACCCTGACCCCCTTCTGGTGGCCTGTGAACACTGGTAATCACAGCAGATTATGATTACAGGGCATATTTTGGGGGGATTTTGGATTAACAGTGTTTTTCAGCCTGTCTTAGTTGATATTTCAAAACATTTTCTTACTGGGTCAACTAGAGCACAAAGCAGTGAGTAGTTACACACTGAGCACCAGAACAAGGGATCGAACCTGGGATTGCTAGTTTTATTGAAACATCGTCCAATTATAATGGTTACAAGCCAGTGCGGAACGGGAACCCACGCACAATGCGAACGTGCATTTGGGCTTGGTTAAAATAGGAACTGACCAGGTTTCCTGTCCCCTGGTATCGTGACGTTTTATGCATCAGAAACAAATAAGAAAAAATATAAAAAGGTTAAAAGCACCCAGTGCTTCCTTTTTCTTTTTTAAAAGCAAGGAGGTGAGGAAATTTGAGGCTCACAGACCTGTGTGTACCCTGGAGAACAGGACAATTTGAACAGAAGCCTGTGTCCTTGGCTTCCTGAGCCTTCCGTCTCTGCAGGTCCACTCATAGCATCATTAAGTTGAGGTGTGAGACAAGTTCTTGGAAGAATCTGTCGCTGCGGGTACGCACTGTTTCTTCCTTTTATTTTGCAAGCTGGGTTACCTCCTAAATTTTGGAAAGTATGGCTACGAGCATCACACGGGGCCAGCGGTGAGACGCCTCTGCGAGTTGACTGGAGCCACGTGCAGACACAGGTGGAGGCGTGAGGACAGGTGCGCGTGCCGGTACACAGCAGGTGCACCTGTCCCTCGAGATCCCATCTCTAGTGGCAGACTCCCACTTGCTAAATGTATGTCTCAGTGAGGTCTTTCGCTTTATGATAAAATGTAAGAGATTAAGGGATTGGAGAGAAAGTAAAGGAGGGGAGGGGAAGGAAAGGAGGAAACCACGGGGAGAGATTGTGAGGACTAGACCCTAAAGGAAGAGAGCGTGAGTCAGTGGAGGTGCTGAGGGTGGTCCAAGGGTGCTTTGCCATATTCTCTTGGTCAGGCGGGGGTGTAAGGGCAAGGAACCACGTGCAGGGTGGCCGAATCGCTCTCCTGCCAATGCCCTTGGCCCGAGGGTCTGGCTGGGCTTGACGCCTCCTTGGGGGGGGGGGGCGGCCGCAGGAACTGGGGCAGAGGCGGGGGGCGTGGGCTGTCTGCAGCCGAGACGCCGGGGGCCGTGACTCCACCAGCCTTTAGAGATGTCGAGATGAGAGCCAGCAGTGGAAAGCGCCCGCCCGCTCGAGCTGGTGCTCCTGAGCCCGCAGCAAGCACAACAGCAGTTCCCCAGGGAGAGGGAGCAGGCCGGGAAAGACACACCGAGCCGTCACAGCCTGGGAAATACCCCCTTCCCGGCCGGACCAGGACGGGATCTCCGCACCACGCCGGCCGCTCCGGCTGCCCTGGACCCGGAAACTTGCACAACACGAAACAACGATAACAACAAAAACACCACTTCTAAGCCTCGTTGTTTTATTATAAAAGACTTATTCAACAGCAAAAGGACATCATGCCAGGACATAGAACAATTTTTCTTTTTGAGTAAATGTAGCTTCAAGAAAACACTCACTCGGTCGTCCTAATTTTTAAATACTTCCCCAGACTGGTGAAAACGTGGCCCGGACCAATGAGAAATGGTATGAGGGCGGTCTTGGGGGCGGGTGTTTTCTCCCTCACGGCTCCGAGGGCTGACTGGCTCTTCTTCCCTGGAGATAGTTTCCTGCCTGCAAGCTGTTTCCAAGGGCTGGCCAGCAACAGTGAGCAGCAGTTAGTGTGTGTGGGTCTAGCTCTGCTG